GGCGTCAGCCCGGCCCACGGTCATGAAGTGGTCACCCCCTCTGCTCCCCTGCCTGGAGCCAGGAGTTGTCCCCACTCCATCCATGCTGGGGCTCACAGCCTTTGCCAGGCTCCTCTTCACCCCGGTCAGGCCAATTCCATGGCTGGATCCTTAGAACGGCCTCTGTGGCATCGGTTGAGATCAATCATTCCCATGCAGGGTGTTGGGGCCAGGCCTTGTGGGGACTTGATCCCTCAGGCAGCCTCACACCAGAGCCCTTGGTCAGAGCCTCTCAGTCCCTGGCATCAGAGCCCCTGGCCCTCTCCTCCCCACCAACCCCTTGCTGACAGCCCTGGGTCAGAGGCCTGTGGGGACCTGTGCCCAGCACACACGTGCAGGCAGGGACTTGCCTTGGGCTCTTGCTGCTCCTCCAAGGCCCTGCCCAAGCCACAGCATCACACTGAACCCCCCATGCCCCATGTCAGCAATGACCCGGCTGTGGCTGCTGATCTCCACCTCCCAGCAGAAGCCAGCCCCATGGGCAGTGCCCTCACCTGGGATTGGGTGCAGGCCGGGTCCACCAGGTTCTGGCAGGCCACCTGGATGGCGTGGTTGGCTCTGGCAAACTGCGTGGGGTCCACAAGGCCCTGCAGTCCAGCCTGGCTGTTGGGGTCCGACACACCCACTAGGTAGGCAGCCTGCGAGCAGGGGACAGGATGTGTGAGGCCCCGAGCCGGTGGTGTGGGAGGCATGGCAGCACAGGGCAGACCCTGGCAGCGAGGCAGGGGGACAGCCAGGCCCCCCAGTGCATTTCGTGGTGCCGTGGCCTCGCCTACCTGAGCTGCTGCCTCCGTGAGCCCGCAGAGTGCCTTGGAGGCGGCACTGATGGCGTCCCCAAACTCAGGCAGCTTGCTGTTCTTGGCGTGCTGTGAGATCCCAGCCATCGACTCGCCCAGCACCTGCACCAGAAGCAGCCCTCAGCTCTGCTCACAGCAGCCCGAAGCAGCCATGGGGCAGAGGCATTACCCTCCCCACCTGCATGCTGATGGCAGAGCTGTGCCAGCCCCAGCACACCTCACTGGCCAAGGCACCACCTAGGCTCCGAGTGCCCCGGCTCCCCAGGCCCCAATCCAGCCCCCAACACCCCAGTGTGACCTGACCCCTGCCCTGGCCAGGCCTCACCTTGGAGTTCTCCATGACGCTGTCCAGGCAGTTGAAGTAGGACAGGTCGTTCACAGCCTGTGTGGGGTTTTCCAGCAGCTCCCGCACTGTCTGTGGGGCAC